GATGAGTGGTCAAAAGGTGTGGTTGGCAAATTTCGACGAGTCGAAGATGTGCAAGGTAAAACTTGCTGATAATAGTTTTCTTGTAAGCAAAACATACTTACATCTTAGTTTTTTAAATGTGTAATGGAGTGAAAGCTATGATCAAAGATATACTCTATGTAACTGGAATGAAATGCAACATGCTAAGTGTTAGACAATTGATCGAAAAAGGTTTCTCAGTTTTCATAAAAGATGGAGTTTTAAAATTATTTGACACCCAAAACAATTTGGTCTTGAAATCTCCTCTATTGAAGAATCAGACGTTTAAGACTATGGTCAGTTCGGCTGAAGTACAATATCTAAAAACTATTTTCGACCACAAGGATAACAGGTTGGGACATTTGAGGTTTGTACATTTGAACTTTCGATCACTCAATCAACTGATTACTCAAGAAATGGTAACTGGTATCCCAAGTCTTGAGATGCCTGAAAAACTCTATGAAGGTTGTTTAGTCGGAAAGTAATACATAAAATTATTTTGTTTCGACTATGCCAATGGGATCATCCTACATACTTGAAGTGGTACATTCAGATGTATGTGGTCCGTTCGAAGAACATATCATTGGTGTAAACATATATTTCATCGTTTGTCGATGGGTATAGTTGAAAGTTATGGTTCTATGTAATAAAGAGAAAAGACAAAGTATTCAAAATCTTTAAGACATTCAAGATGTTTGTCAAAAACTAGAGTGAGAAGAAGATCAATGTTTTTGTGAACAGATAAAGGTGGCGAATACACATCCAAGATGCTTGAAATTTTTTATGCAGAACATGGTGTAGATCATGAGGTAATTTCTCCTTATACGCCTCAGATAATGGAATTGTAGAAAGAAGAAACAAAACCATATTGGATATGGCGAGATACATGCTAAAGCATAAGAATTTGCAAAAATCTTTATGGGGAGAAGCTGTTCAACTGCAGTTTATATTCTGAACAAGGTGACCTACAAGAAATTAAAGAACAAGGTTCCTGAAGAAGTATGGAGTGGAAAACGATCATCAGTGAGTCATATGAAGATGTTTGACTCTATGTGTTACAAACATGTTCCTGATTCAACAAGAAGGAAGCTTGATGACAAGAGTGAACCTGTGATTCTGGTAGGATATCACAAGAATGGTGCATACAGGATATTCAATCCAATTAATGAGAATATTGTGTTGAGTAGAGATATTGTAATTGATGAAAATTATGCATGGGATTGGAATTCTAGTAATTTAATTAACAAGCCATTGATCAACTCTAATTTCGATGAAAAACTGATGAAGTTGAAGTCGAAGGAATTGCTGAAAATCTAGTCGAGGTCGAAGCAATTGCTAACACTCCTAACACAGTCAAAGTCGAAGAGGTTATGTTTATTACAAGCCAAAGACCACAAAGAACTAGAGTTCTTCCAGCAAGACTTCATGATTATGAAGTGGTTGGTGATGATGAAGTCACATCAGATGGAGATTTAGTTCATTTTGCTTTACTTGCAAGTGCTGAATCAATCAATCATAGCGAAAACTTTGAAGATTAAACAATGGAAGTTAGCTATGTTCAAAGAGTTACAGGCAATCTAAAGAAACAACACACGAGAGTTAGTCGAATTGTCAGCACATACAAAAGCTATCAAAGTGAAGTGGGTGTTCAAGTTGAAATACAATGCTGATGGATCGATAGTAAGATATAAAGCACTTAGTAGCTCGAGGATTTCTTGAAAGAACAAGACTCAACTACTCTGAAGTATTTTCTCCGAGTAGCAAGATTAGAGACTGCTCGACTAGTGGTATCATTGGCATACAACCAAGGCTGGTCAACATTTCACTTAGATGTGAAGTTAGCATTTCTGAATGGTATTTTAGACGAAGAAGTCTATGTCACACAACCTCCTGAGTTTGTGATTCAGAAGGAAGAAAGTAAAATATATAAGTTACACAAAGCGCTCCATGGCCTCAAGCAGGAACCTAGGGAATGGAACAAGAAGATCGAATCCTAACTTAGTCGAATTGAGATTTGGAAAATGCAAGTCTGAGTATGGTGTCTATGTTCAGGTTTAGCACAAGATATAACAATCATCTGCTATATGTCGATGACTTGTTGGTAACTGGAGATAGCCTGGAGAACTTGTAGAAGTTCAA